TTATTGGTTTAATGTAAGTGGCTATTGTTCAGGACGAACAATACTAAGGAGGGGTCAGTGTTGCGTCAGCGAGGTCACGTGACTAGTATCAAGCCACCTCTTAGAAATATCCTGTTCCTTCGTGAATTGTCGGGAGACCACTAGATTGGGGGTAGTCTGGTATATATAAAATGGTCACAACGTGATGGAACAATGTGTAAGTGAATGAGTAATTGAATGTATGCGGACAGAATATTGTTGGCCACGTGAGACGTGAGTTATAGCGTTGTTATAGAGCGACTGTTGAAATTAAGTGTATCGTAAAATTGTATTCGGAAAGAATAAACCAGTTTTATTTAAGAAAGGACTTGTGTCGCTAAAGTTTAGTCGGAAAGAATTTACGGAAAATTAACTAACGAACGGAGACGTAACAATATTATAACTGAATTTATGTAAAGGCAAGGAGGACCGTTTAGCTTGAAAAATCACATGTGTTGTTTGAGAAAAATGCAATAACATAGGTTACACGTTTACTCGCAAACACTATATTGAATTATTAAGGAGTACTTGTGGCTAAACAATTACAAAAGATAAGGACAAACTACTAAAGATAAAGACTATCTTTTATTGGTAGGTGACATCTGATATTATCTATTACAGAAAGCTACTTGATGTGATAATTATTTGTGGGAACAATATTTTTGATAACAATTTTTAAGTACAGTTTGCCGAGTGTCTAGTAGTTGATTCATCCTGTGTTTATTAGCTGTAAAAATATATCTATGATATATCGTTTATCTTAGAGCGAACTGTTTGGTTTAAACATTATTTGGAGTATAAGATTGTTCTTGTAGTTCAGTGGTTGTGTGAAGACAAATAGTTTAGTTGTTGTTTTGTTTTTCAGCTGACTGGATACGTCAAAACAGTTGCAGTATTAGGTAACTTATTAAGTAGAAATAAAATTGCTTCAATGATAACTTTTGGTTCTTTGGCTAGGTGGAGACGATGTCCAGCAACTTTGTGAAGCTGGGGAGGAGGAATTTCTGGAGATCATGGCGCTAGTGGGAATGGCTAGCAAACCTTTACATGTCCGACGTTTGCAGAAGGCGCTGCAAGAATGGGTGAACAATCCTGGTAATCTTTCTTTCTTGTCACGTTCTTCAGCAAAACGTTCTAATTGTTACGCCTCTTTGAATTTTACACTGTCTTCTGTAAACTTTGACTGACGTAGCTAACATTAGAAAACAGTTTTATGAGAATATTTAAAAGCCCATGTAATTTCTATGCTTTATAACGGCTTCGGGTATTATTTTTTAATAGGTTTGTGAATGTTTTCATTCTGTTAATATCTACATAACCGTACAACCGTTTCTTTTAATAATGTTAATTTATATGTTTTGATTATTTTGTATTTTTCCTTGTATGTATGTATGAATAGTGTAATTGTGAGGAATGAATGTTAAATTAGCTTAGAGTATAGCACTTAAAATGTCCTGCTAAAATAATTTTATTTCGCTTTAGTTATAATGTTTCGATATATCTTTTAGCCATATAGTTTTTCACTTCACGTTGTATAAAGTCCCCCGGTGGAGCAATGGTAATTCTATGGACTTACAACACTAAGCCCCCCAGTAGCACAGCGGTATGTCTGCGGACTTACAACGCTAGAATCCGGGTTTCGATACCCGTGGTGGGCAGAGCACAGATAGCCCATTGTGTAGCTTTGTGCTTAATTACAAACAAACAAACATACAACACTAAACTTTGGTGTTATATTCCCCGCTGTGGACCCAGCAGATAGCCCAATGAGGCTTTACTATAAAACGAACCCACTTTATGTAAAAGAAAGAGCTTACTATTATTCAAACTTTTGACCTTTTTTTTAAACTTTGTCCTAAATGATGTTGCAAATAACTCAAGAATTGTTTGCAACATCATTAAAGACAAGTTACTCTATGATGTGCTTTGAAATGCGTAGGACTCGGTCATCCTAACTATAGGGGCTCCGAAATGGGATATTTAGATTAAGAAAATGAAATATTAAAAATATGTTATTTTTTAAAACAATATTTATCAGTAATGTTACCCCATTAACGTATTTCATGTAAGGATCATTCAAAATCATTACAAGAAACGTGTGATTTTTGCCAACGTGTTAGATTCAGTGTATGTGGAACGTATGCTGGACTTTTTGATTATTGTTACATTTGTTAGTCCTAGTGGACATTATATTAACAGACAATATTTTATAATTAGTGATATCTATGCTTCAATGATTGAATAATAGCTTTTATACTGGTCTAACACTAAAATCTCACGTAAAAGTAATTTTCTCAACATGCCCATCTGGAATCCGAATGTTGACGTTTTACTGGTGCATTGAAATTTCTATATAACGGATATATTTTGTTTATGAATCTGTATTTGTGTACATTCATTGCCAAGACGTAAGGAATTTCTGAACTGTTATTGTATTTTTTCGTTGATTCATTAAAATTTTCAAAAGTTGAACATTTGGATCTTACATATAAAGACAATGTGATTTGTAACAGGGAGAAAATAATTAACTTGGAAAAGCAACCCGTTTTATTTAATGGTTTCCAAAAACATTTCTTGTAGAACAGGTGAGTGTGGACATAAGAAAACCCAAGAAAGTATTCTGTATTGTGACTCGGCTATTGTACACAACTATGAACTACATTCATGTGCGACAATATCCCATATTTAAACAAGAATGAAAACTTTAGGAATCTTTGTTTGAGTCGAAAGTAATTAGAAGCTTCAGCCCCAAGGAAGAGTCACCTGTTTTAACCACTCGCACCACTATACAGTAGTGTGTTGTCAGTCCGTCAGTAGACACTAAAATGGCGTTAAATACGGGACGCTTAACGTTGCAACTTGTACTGTCGTGACGTCGGTAGAACGTGCGCATGCCATGAATCACGAGAATAATTATACGCCCTGTAGGCTACAATACAGCATGACATATAAACTTCAAAAGCAAGAAATAATAATATTTGTTACTCTTAATTTTAGTTTTATTTACTCTTGCAACAGAACATTTTCGAGGACCCTGCGGAAAAACATCTTGTTTTTATCGTTGTCATATATAACATTTTTGATGGCTTGTAATGATTTAAGCATTTTATAATCCAATTAAATGAACTTTTTGCAAATGGTGTTAATAACTGTAGGAGGACCTTCATTTATATGCTAACTGATGAACGATCAAATTTCATATGTATACATAAACCCGAATGGTACATTTGTTAGTTTCGTAAAGTGTTTCATGTGTTGTCTTAACTTGATTTATTAAAGCTTATGCTCAATTTCACGGTTTCCTACTCAAAGAAAGATAGAATGGGATAAAACTCGTATCTGGTACAATATTATACGGGACTTGTTTAGTGACGATACGGTTTCTTATGAAATTTCAAATACGTGATCTGTCATCTACTTTGGTTTGTTTTTTTGAATTTCGCGCAAAGCTACACTAGGGCTATCTGCGCTAGCCGTCCCTA